TTAATCTCTCTCCACACAAGACTCTTTCCATTAAAGTCTTTTGCTTTCAATGGTAACAATGGAGAATTCAGGCTTCTACCTTCCTGGTTGCTGCAGCAATTAACTGCAATGACTGTCGAAGACAGGGCCTCACCATTTGCAGCAGGTTTCTCTGTGCAGAGTGTATCATTACTGTCAGGGTCAATTTCTTCTTGGCTTTCAACAGGACTGACTGCAATTACAGTTGATAAATTGCTGCTGGAGCTATTTACACTTCCACTTGAGGTTGATACATGTGAAAGAAAAAGTGGTTTTTCCACTTGTTGGTTTTCTTCACCTGTGTGATTCAGAGACTTTGAACTTGAAATAGCTGGGAACTCTTCTACAGTGTGTTTATCTTTTCTGGAAGATCCATTTCTTAAGATTTGCTCAAGGGAGACAGAAGGAATAGATGCATTTGACTTTATACCATTACTATCACTGTTCTTTACTGTCCACTGAAGCGAACTATTCAAATTATCATAATTGCCACATTTTGCTTGAGACACATCTCTTGCCTGTGGCTGGCAGGACAGTTTAATTTTGTTATTCTTCATTGCCACAGCCACAACACGTGGCGCATGTTCATGTCTGTCTGAGGAATCATCACTGCTGCTGTTACCACTGATTGATCCTTTCTTGGGAAAAACAGTATTATTACCCTTCCCTTTCATTGTGCCTCTACAATTGACAGGCTCATCGTTACTTGTTTTGCTCTTCCATACTGGAACTGATTCTGATGCTGATGACACAAGCTGATTATGATTGATGAAGAACTTCTGTACATTGTTAAAGTTAGTCTGCTTCACCCATTCTGGAGAAGGCATAGTGACTTGATCATATGTGTTGGTTATACTGTACAGAAACAAAGCTAGTGCCAGAACTATAAATGTGATTGTTAGTAACAGAATACAAAATAAGGATGGTGTTAGTAGCAATTGTTGAAAAATAAGCATGTGGTTATGACCAATCAGCCTTCTGTCAGCAATCCACAAAATTACTCATATCTGAAATCATAATTCTGGGTGGATATTTATATCTCCGTTTCCATTTTCAAATATTAAAAATACATAACCAGTAACTACCCATCCAGTTAACACACTTAATTTGAACAACACTTGTTTATACACTGCAACACACATGACTGTTTGTGGACTTCCTTCTTTAGAATCAATTAAAAAATTATGTAATAAAACATGAACACCTTTGTTGACTACTGTGATAAACCACATCAAACGTATCCAGAATTCATATAGTTCTTACTCACAACAAAATTATACAAAGGTAAAAATACGCATGGCTTTTGTTGACAAGCTGGATAATATCTACTGGTATCTTCCTTCATGCTGATGCATTCATGTTGAGGATAATTTGTGAAATCCAGAAATAAAATATGTAAATACCAGCAGTTTTTGAAGTACCTTCACGCAACAAAACAGACACACTTTCTCATCTTTCACCACTTGTGCTGAGCACACGGTCTCAAACCACTACATGTTGTGACACAAGTGTGAGAAACCACCTACAGAACCACCTGACATGCAGCAAGCTGGAGAGCTGACAGTGAACTAACAGCCTTCCTCCACTGCAATGTCCTGCCCCCAGGGTGAACAACTAACTCCTCCTCACTGGACTGGACTAGACATGGCAAAACAGGGGTATCCACAAGCAACTGTGCCACTTTGTAAGTGTAACTACATTTCAGTAAAAATGTATCTGTTATTAATGTACAATAGTAATGAATTTCATTGCTTTTAATTTCTTGGGGAAACAAAATAAGCTGCTCAAGTCACTGCTATAAGACATTGCAGTCACTCTCCTTTAGTAGTTCTGAATCACTTACGATACACTTCACAGCTTCACAACACTACACATATGGTAACTAAATACAACAAGAAATGTCACTTTGTGTATTATATCTGTTTCAAAGGCCTGAAAATCATTAAATATTTTTAATCAGATTACCATTTATAAATTAATTAGTTAACAGATACTTCCTTTACCAAGTAAATTAGCTCATAGATTAATGTGACTTGATTAAGGAAGCACCTACTTTGAATCTTTGGACAATACCAACAGAGTCTGAAGTTTTTCATAGATTTCCTCATCCTCCATGTGAATTCTAGATAGTTTCTGAAATAACTGCTTTCTTCCCATCCACTTTCAGTTCAACCACCATACATAATCATTCTCTGATTTCATCTGGCACTAAATAACATGTTGTTGATTGAACATTTCTCAACAACCAATGAACAAACCAAAATGTACTTTGCCATCAAAAGCAATAAGTAATACAGCAAAATTA